ATTTCAAAAATAGTGAAAGCTTGGCGGCTGCAGTTCGAAAATTTCATACAAAATATGGCCGGAATAGTGTTTTAACTTCGTCAACTGTGAAGAGATTAATTGAAAAATTCATGGAGACTGGATCCGTTGGAGACGCCAAACACACTGGTCGTCCAAAAACAAGCCGTTCAAATGTGAATATCGAAGCAGTGCGTGAGAGTGTTGCGGACAATCCAGGAACCTCAATTCGACGTCGTGGACAAGAATTGCAAATGTCAAGAACCTCTCTACAGCGTATACTCACCAAAGATCTGTGTCTTCATGCTTACAAACTTCAATTAACACAACAATTGAAGCTTAATGACCATGCAGAGAGAAGAGAGTTTGTTGAATGGATTATTGAACATCAACAAATGGACCCTGATTTTTCAAGCAAAATCATCCTAAGCGATGAAGCACATTTTCATCTTGATGGCTTTGTCAATCGCCAAAATTGCCGCATTTGGGGTTCGGAGAACCCACGTGTGATTGTCGAAAAAGAAATGCACCCACAACGCGTGACTGTCTGGTGTGGATTTTGGGCTGGAAGCATAATTGGGTCATATTTTTTTGAAAATGATGCTGGTCAAGCAGTGACTGTTACTGGTGCTCGATATCGCGACATGATTACACAGTTCTTTCTGCCAAAATTGAATGATATTGATGTACCCAATATGTGGTTTCAACAAGACGGTGCCACATGTCATACAGCCCGTGAAACAATTCAATTACTGCATGAGACATTTCCCGGTCGTGTACTCTCTTGTTTCGGTGATCAAAATTAGACTTCTTTTTATGGGGTTATTTGAAATCACAAGTCTATGTCAACAAGCCCACAACCACCCGTGCATTAAAGGAGGAGATTCAACGCTGCATCAACGAAATTCAGCCACATTTATGCAGAAGGGTCATGGAAAATTTCGACAAAAGAGTGCGCATGTGCATGCAAAGCCGTGGAGGCCATTTGTCCGATGTGTTATTCCATACATAACCCTATCCTATGTACTTTATGAGTCAATAAAAATATAACTATTAAAAGACTAAAAATGGCATTTTCTATTTAATTCAAATCTTGCGTTAATTTTGGGACACCCATTACAATAGTCTAAGAGAATTTGCGATGGTGGGCGATACAAAATACCAATCACGAAATTATTGTTATTCACATTCACTTGAACAAAAGAGCGTCTAAACCTGCAGGAACATCATTATCAGAGCTAAAAACTTTTGCATATAATTGAGATTTTATATACATGCCAGCACCACGGCCTCTCGAGGCTCGATCACATCGGAAGAAGTTGTACCACTCGATATCTATAATATTATTGGAAATATTGCTAGAGAGCCATGTCTCACTTATATCATCTATTCCAAGTTCTAATGGCAAATCTACGAGGAAATATACTAACGCCAAAAATTGAAATATATCCTACCCCACCCCTTACAACCTCCAACCGCCCATTTTTAAACCCTAAAGCTTTTTTCTGAAAATGATCAGGAGCCCCTAAGCCTCAAAAAATGATGTTTGGGCGATTTATATCTTTTTCGTTTTTTACTCTAGCTTCGCCGACTTTCAAAAACTACAAAGATTTGACGTCCTGGGGTAGTACTCGTAGTAACATAGAAAATTTTATCAAAATCCGACTGGTGCCTTCCAAGTTATAGCGGGCCAAGGATTAGCGTACAGGCAAACAAACAGACATACACATAACGCCACGGCTAACTGAGACTATCTTATGGTAAATGTGTTATAGAGCGTTTAATCTATATATCGTATGTACCTCGAAAACGATTGATTGGCGAGGTAGACAAACTGTAGAAAATTAAACTTACTTTCAATGTTTAATCCAATGAAATTATGAAAAATATTGTTTCTATTTTAAAAAATGGATTGTAGGGTTTTTTAGAATCGGATTTTCATTCTTTTTTGACCACCTTGTATATTTGTAATCCAAATGCGGAAAAAAATCTACTGAAGGAGGACTTCTGCTATAAGAAATACATAAATCATATGGCAAAGCAAAAATTCCACAAAAAATGGTTATAATCCATTGGCCTATATTACCATTTTTTATGTAAAATTTTGGAATATCTCAAAAACGGTTAGACTAATTTAGATTATAATACGTATTCTATTCTTGAAATGTGTTTAGAATGTTGTGTAGAGTCCAAGGGTGTTCTATTTAAAATTAGTAAGTTTTTTAAAATATTTTAGCCATATTGCTTCCATTAGTCATACTATAAACTAGGGAACTGCTGGATGTAGTGGTGAGACCATTACTTATCCGGGAAGGACCAAACCTAAATTATCCTCACGCCCGTACGTATGAGTAAAGAGTTTCTTTGCAGAATCGCGGAATCCTTACATTTGGGCTATTGCTGTATTATTTTAGTTCGTTTTGTGGTTCTTGTTGTTTTTTGTGTGTACATAATATGGAAGAGAAAAGAGCAGCAAAGAAATAAATAGTAGCTGCTCCATGGACTATCATATTTTGTATAAAAAAACATGTTATAGTATAGTAACACCTACTGTATAAAAAAGGCACTGGGCAAATACCTTAAACGCACTAACTGGAGAAGACGGTTGATATTTTCTAAAAAATCGTTCAAATCCGGCAACTAATTCCGGCAACAATATGTTGTAACCTTGGCTATTTTTTTGACAATGTGTAAATTTTTTGGAGGACATATTAGGAAGGTTTGGGAATGGCATATGAACTTGCGCATCACATCACGGCCCAGGAATTCGATACTCGGCGAAACCGGGTACCCGGTAAAATGGCCTGGGTTTACCGAGTACCGCTTCAAGCGGAGTACTCAGTGCATCCCTACTATAAAAACAAATTGTCGTATCTGTCTTACGTCAAATTTGTGACTGTAGTAGCCGCATGGTGCAGTCCAGTTATGTACGTTACCAATCTTTCTCCATCTGTTTCATACACCGTGAGCGTCACTTCTGTATGCCGTTTTTAGAATAATACGGAATCCACTACTGTATACAGAATTACAGAAGACTCGAATGCCGAAGTGACTCATCGAATTAAGGACATTATTCACAGTCACTGCGCAACCTGAAATGCGTTTTTTGTAGTCGCAGTCGGTATGAAAATGCTAAAAGCAGGTCAAGTGTACACCATGTTGAACTGTGGTGTTCGCTTTACGCACATTTACTTATACAGTGCTTCAAAAAGGTTTCCCCTATTTATTTTTTGAACGGGTCAAATTAGAAAGCTGAAATTTGGGGTAATGAAATTGATGATTTAGCGTAAAAGTGACAGTTGAACAATTCAAGATGGCAGCTGAGCGCCATTTTGAAACCATTTTTGTGAATCGAAAGGAGGATCGTGTGATTTCTCATTTTGAAGCTCCTTATGAGTTCTTTATATATCCAAATTATAAAATGCTTACCTTTCAAAATGGAGATCTCACGGGCTGGCAAAGTTAAGCATTTTTGAACTTTGAGTAGCATATAACTCAACAATCAATCATCACAATGCTATAGAATGTTACATTAATCTGGTTTCCTTAGAACGGTCTATCCGAATACGTAATGAAATATGGAACATTCCATTAAAAAAATTATCAAAACTTTTTTCACTGGAATGTTTCATATAGTATTCCAAATTCAGATATATATATAACCTTCCTAAGGAAAAATATTGATATAACAACTATAAGGTTTTGATGATTAGCTGTTGAGCTATAAGCGATTCAAAGAACAAAAAGCCCAACTTTAACAGCCAGTCCGCCATTTTGAAAGATAATGATTTTATAATCTAGACTTCTAAAAAATCCGCAAGAAGCTCCAGAATGAGGTATCACATGACTATCATTTCCATTTAAAAAATTGTAGCTGTGCTATAAGCGATTCAAAGAACAAAAAGCCCAACTTTAACAGTCAGTCCGCCATTTTGAAAGATAATGATTTTATAATCTAGACTTCTAAAAAATCCGCAAGAATCTCCAGAATGAGGTATCACATGACCATCATTTCCATTTAAAAAATTGTATGTGATGGCGCCCAGCCGTCGACTTGAAATGTTCAACTGTTATTTTGACGTTAAAATAAAGTATTCATGCTTCAATTTCAACATCCCGAATTTCAGCTCCCGTTCAAAAAATAAGTAGTGAGAGACCTTTCAGAAAAACACTGTATACAGACAGGAAAGCTGGTTTTAAGCTCAGGTTTTACAATTACAATCATATATGTAGAGCGTCACATGGAATATCAAAAAGTACTTGTACTAGCCACACACTGTTGACCACAGTGTGCGGGCACCATGACTGATTTGTATCTTGGTATGTTTTATAACTTCTACTTTAAAGGAAGCAAAAACGTGGCATTCGTGCTAAAAATTTTCCAACACATTTTGTTTTCGTAACCACGGCAGATAGTGATTAGAATCAACAGGTTGCCGATCGGTAACGGTGCAAATGTGTTTAGTTTTTTAAACAAACTATGCAAAATTAATTTTCCCATCGAGCAAAGTTTTAGGTTTTTTGGAGTATAAGTAGTAGTGGTAATGGGGAGGCGAAGCCAGACAACTATGCCACCCTGTACCTGTACTAGTCCACAAGCCATCTACACATAACCAGCACCGATCTGGTGCGTCATATAGACAATACACAACACACCATCCATGGCTCGGAATTAACCTCTGAGGCAGAGATTCAAGCCCGCGAGCCTTCGGGTCGATCGATTGCTAGCTCGATGGTCTAACCACTCGAACAAAGCCCTCCCATAGGCCTTTTTGACAAAAATGGTCCTAAGTCAGTTCTAGAATTGACCGTTTTCGGGTTATAAGTGATTAAAAGTCTGAGAACCTCAATAAGGTATCAGTGCTTAAAAACTCTGTTGCAGCACTATTATTTTTGAGGTTGCCAAGTGTCTGAATTAAATGTCAAACCTTCCTTTACGAGGGATATCTTTTAAGTTTTGCATATGGAAATAAAACAACACGGTAGGTGGTTTTTAAATGACTTTATTGTTTTTCGAAGTATTCTCCACGAATCAATTTTCGAAGCATATTCCACTCGTTTGCTGGCAGATCAAAAACGGCATATTTGAATACGTCAACTGCTTCTTCTGGTGACTGGAACCTTTGACCACGCAGTCTGTTTTTAATTTTGGGAAAAGTAAAGAAATCGTTAGGACTTAGATCGGGACTATATGGAGGATGGTCCAATAATTCCACGTTTTCTTCCGTTAAATACTGCCTTGTTTTTTGGGCTCTGAGCGAGCTTGCATTATCTTGGTGGAGGATGATTCTTCTTTCGGGGTTGATTTTTCGAAGCTCGGTGATGACTTTTGGCAAACAATTGGTGGTATACCAATCCGCAGTAACAGTTCTTTGCTCATTAAGAGGAATTGTTGCAATATGACCCGCTTTTGACACAAATGTCGCGACCATCTTTTTCGAAACACTTCGAGAACGGATGACTTTTGTTGGCTTTTCTTCAACTTGGAACACCCAAACTGCCGACTGTCGTTAATTTTCTGGTTCATAACAGTAAATCCACGATTCATCACCACTAACAGTGCTGTACACATTTTTTGAGTTTCGGGAATTAAAACGGTCAAGCGTTTTTTGACACCAATTAACCCTGGCTGCTTTCTGCTCTTCAGTCAACAGGTGGGGTATCCAACGAGAACCTAATTTTCTTACTCCTAATTCATGTAATTTTTTTTGAAATGAGGTCTTTGAGATCTTCAAGGACGCCTCAATCTCGCGATATGTCACATGTCTATCTTCAATGATGAGTTTGCGCACAGCATCGACGTTTTCCTGGGTGACTGCCGTTTTTTGTGCACCCACCCTGGGATCATCGCTAAGACTCACCCGTCCACGTTTGAATTTTCCATACCAATGGGAAATTGTCGACTGATGTGGCGCTTCGTTGCCAAAAACAGACAGTAACTCAGCAAGGCATTCTTGCTGCGATAATTGTCTCTAAAAGTTGTAATAAATTATGGCGCGAAAATGTTCTCGGTTGAGTTCCATTTTTCTAATGACTTGGTGACACTTAAAAATTCACTGTAGTGAGAACATTGCACGTATTGTTGTGAAACTTTGAATTTAAGTTTACTAAAGAGTGAGGTTAAGATTCAGTACTGACGCCGTTCGATCCGCGCGGCCTACTATGTTTCTATATGCAAAACTTAAAAGACATCCCTCGTACTACATAGACCCTTAACAATATTTTAGACTTAGTGTAGTTTAAAGCATTGTTATTTGTTGTTTTAGTGCCAAATAACCAATTTGACAGAACCTGCTCATAACAGTAGACGAAATTAACAAAGGTATAAATAAACTAATTTGAATAAAAAAAATTCCAAGTGACATCGTAACAATTGTATAAATAAATGTAAGTGAACCGCGTTGTGGCGGTACAGTATTTTTAGACAACATAGGACATGACAACATGTATTTGCTTTATATCAACTGAGAAATTAGCCTGAAAGCTAATGGTTTGCATACTACACGTATTTACACTATGTATTGTGTCGTACAGGGTGAGACTGTTACGTGTGTGATTTCAAAAATATTCCCTATTTTTTTAAAGTACATATAGCATTTATTTCGAACGACGTATCGGGGATTTTGGGGAAATTGGAGCAAAGCTGCGCATTCAGGTAACCAAGATAATGGCACACAGGCAGAGTATTTCCGGAGATAAACGGAAAAAATAGCATCAAGTAGGCTGACTCTGCACTTCCCACGCAACTCCGTCATCAGTTCCTAAAGGATTATGTTCAGCGGAAATTAAACCCTCTGGTGAACAAGTTAGTGACGGACATGTATAACAGAGAAATTAAACGGATCAAGTCAGTCAAACAGGTCAATACAAATAGTTCATAGATATCCTTTCCCTACCCGGAGTACCATCGTCGCCTCTTGATCACACGACGCGTTAGACGCGGTTGTAATGCCAGGAGACCAAAACCAGCTCGCCCGCTCAGAAAGCAGAAGTAAGGATTTTTTCGTTTTTGGCCTCGACAATTAAAGTTATAGATGGGTCAAGGATTAGCGGACAGACAGACAGACCGACGGAAATGAGTGACATGATTTTTCGTGATGTACATATCATATATAACATCCAAAAAACAATAACTCATTTTCGAATTTTTTTGTAATTACAATACTTCCTCGCCAGTAGGCTTGTTAAGTAAAAACGAATACTCCTAAAAGCGTTTTAGTTTTTTGTGACTTTGAGATGTGATTTCAAAACCAATTTTATAATAACATTGTCACATATTTTCCTCTATAAGATGGCATAGTAGCGATTTCTATATGACGTTTCATCTCTTGTACTCAATCTTCAACTTTATTTTTTCTTCTAGACGCCATATAGGATTTTTACATAGATGAATAGTTTTTAATTTTGATTTGTCATTGCCAAACTTAGTTGATAAAAAAACTGATAATTTCATACTTGGCAATGAAAATGACAGCTTATCATATATTTATTCAATCACCAATTTATTGAAGTTTGCTTCAGTTTTTAAGAATTGTTAAAGGATATTCAAATAATCTTTCCATTTATCGACTATAACAAGCGTTATTTTAGCATGACCATGCCTCCCTACACGGCACCTCAGCCGTAAATGCAAGATGTGTGTATCGGTTTAGATATGAAGGATATTTTTTAGTTACCTTAATAGACAACTTTGCTCCCATTGAACCGACTTAGTAGCTCTTACCGTTTCCGAGTGGTGAGAGTCGAACTGATACAGTTGTTGTGGGCGGTACCATGGTACGCATGCTTATTTTCGCGCCGGTAATCCTTTCAATCGGATTGGGGATTGGGGTCTTCTGGTGGAATACGTTGATCAACGCTGCTACTATGATCACCCTGTATAAAAGTGAAGATAACACGAACACGTTTTCTGGTATTTGCATATGCGATATACTAAAGTGTTATGTAAACCAGTTATATATTCGCTATTATGTCGCGAGACCTTGACAGTTTCTTGAAAACAATATTGTTTTCACCGCATTTTATATTTTTACTACCAGAGATAGCAAAGCAATTTCGGTGCTAAATTGCACCGCGATATTTACCACAGACATGTATAAAATAAAGTGTACTATGTGAACTTTATATTGTAAAGTATTAGCTTCTTTATTTCTTAAGGCCATCTGTCAGGATATAAAATTTTGTACATAATTCGGTATCAATTTTTGTGAAAAAGTGCGTTACGGAATTAAGTTCCCAATTTGTTTACCAGTTACAATCATGTCTGGCACGTATACAAATTTTTGTAATAAATTTCGGACGAAATCATGAGCAGTCGGAAGAAAAAAACTGTAACTGTCAACTTCGAACTGCCATTTGTCACGTTAAAGTCATTCTAACCACACTTTTCGTTGCAGCTTGCTACCTTCATCAAAATATGGAAATAACCGAATGCGGTTTTTACTGAGAACATACTTGAGTGAAAAATTATCAGGTTTATTTTGATGCACGAGTGTAATTCGATAGAATATTTGCCGAGTTATTTATGCATGTGAAGATGACAAATGCACATTTCATCAATCCTAAATATGGATACGGACCTATAGGGAAATTTTCGATACTTACTAGGCAATTTTCATTGAAAATTTCCGATTATCGGGAAATTTTCGCTGTAATTTTCCGATAATTACACACCTCTTATGGCATTTTTTATACATGAGGGAAATATTCATATAGATTTTTTGTGAAGTTATGTGGGTTTTTCTACAAGATGTCATGTTAGAACTAGCTCTTGTTGATGTGCATTCGTTCTGTAGCTATACGTGTTGCCTAAACGTCATGACGCTTCAGCTACCAATATTTGGCTCTGATGTGATGTAACTTGTACTTCAGAGCTGGCATTATTGGAGGTCTAAGCTGCGAGTTGTATGCTATAGCTAGAAGGAAACGGCAGTGCATAGTGAGGATAAGTGTGCTAATAATCTGTGTTGATGATAATTCCATTGGTTTCTTGTCATAATTCCATCGGTTTCTTGTCTCCTTTATAAAGTTTTCGATGGCACTCGATCGATAGGGTCTTCAGCTACATGCATACAGACAGACCGACGGAAATAGGTGACATGTTTTTTTTGAGATATGATATACATCCATATAACATCCCATTTTAGAAATTGTTTGCGGTTACAATGCATACTCGCCAGTGCAGTGGCACAGGAAGTAAAAATGATGCTATGTATCAAAAAAGTACTGTCTCTCTAATATAAAACATATGCTACATCCTTACATAGGGTTTGTGAACAGGAAAATGATTTGCAGCTATCAGTGCGATATAATCTGGGGGAGCATTGGCCCTATATGGCTAATGTAAGAGAAGCACCGCTGGGTTGTACCACCACCTAGTTCTTGTAGTGGCTGATGATCCGACCCTAACTGGCCCCTGAGCAAGGTGTGTAGCGTGGCCTCCAAACAGATTGTACCTGATCCCATATTAGGGCATCTGCACTGAATGTGCTTTACCATTTCGTCTCCTTAACCCTGATATTCAATAAACCGTTCGTAACAGAATCGCGAGGTCCATTTTTGCAAGTAGCAAGTTTATACTCGGTTTGATAGATGTGCTGCGAGCTCGCAGAGCAACAGAACTGGTAATAAGGAAACAGATTATTAAAGTACAGTACTTAAATTGGATGAATTTATAGGTTTGCTGCTGTGTCTGACGGTATCATTTTGCAATTTGCCATAACTTATAAATAATCCGGTGATTAACAGATTCAGATTCGTTGGATCTTTTCCAGGACCACATCTCGGTATAAAAAATAGCGCATTGGAAACAACTTTTAGTACAATTTTTCATGTAGTGCAATGACATAAAAATATGTAGCTTTTGTCAGAACCACTGTTGCGCTATTTGGACTTGTAATGAAAAAATCCTCAGATTGCAGCAATGACCATGTCCGTACACGGCAGCTTCATTTCTGAGGAGCTTTGGTGTAAATCTGTCACCAATGTTTGATTCCATGATACCTTATTATAAAAGCTCTTGATTAGTACGTACATGTATATACTACATATACTATTACCTCACAAAATCAAGTAACCTGATAAAATTACACTCCAACCTTGTATATACAGGGAAAATCAAATTTTTGAGCTTGAGTTCAATGTTTATGAGAGAGAAGCACGAGAAGTTTGCATCAACAGATGTTAGATAGAGATAGAAGTCGGCTGAAGTGAAGGTCATCACCGCGTTGGCTAGCATCGGTGACGCAGAATGTCTTGCGAAATTCCGGGTTGTATCCAGTTCAGTGACTCCTAACCATTTTGAATAGAATTATTTATTTCAATTTGGATACGACTTAATGTTTTAATTTATTTTACAATTATGTTTGATTTCCACCGATGATGATAACATCATCACTGCCTGCGTGTACGCAGGTGAAAACCATTTCGAAGCATGACGACACTCCTCAATGAGCGCTAAGTTGGGTACTGACCAAAATCGCTCATCTATAATCATGGAAGTGGAAACCTTGCATTGGAATGTACGAGATGCGGTGTTGCCAAGCGAACCAATGATACAATGTTGCAAAATTTGTGGCGAACCTGACCTTTGTACACTCAAAATAAAACCACTATTTGGGCGTAGAAAATAAACTAATGTATATTTTGAACATGCATTTCAATTCAAGGAACTGGTGTAACATATTGACAACGCGGTGGAGTGCCGCGACAACGTTGCGAGGCAACGCTATGATGAGCTCCGCTATCCAGCTATCTCTTTGTAACAAATGTGCCTATACACACTTCTCTCTCGTACACATTGAACTCAAGCCGTCAGATAAATTTAGTTCTCAGTGTATAGATATCATTCCCACCTCGTATGTGCATATCACCGGCTACCTGCTTTTTCGCGCGACGAATTTAGCAACGCTGCTATACCCGATTTTCAAAAACTATAGAGCTTTTGTTCTTGAAAATTTCATCCAGACCAATAGGCAGACAAACATATAATATCTCATTTTCGAAATTTTTCGCGGTTATAATACTTCCAGTAGGAGTGGGAAGTAAAACTTTATCCGTAGGCTTATTGCATTTTTTTGATGCACGGAGATAAAAGTACGTATAGTCCCTTAATCCAAGCTTTTAATGAACTTGGCAATCGTTTGGACTATACCTCCTGTATGCCCTCTGGATTCATCAACTACGAGGGAAAAAAGAAGTATGTTTGCCTATGTTTTAAAGAATACAAAAAGCATTCATTTCCAGTGATTAATACATCGTTATAAGCCTTGAATATTGACCTATTTTTCTACATAACCGTCATCCCAGACATCTTTGTAGAAGCTATAACAATTTTTGTATCCCCAATATACTAGGAAATAGGTATTTTTCCTACAATTAGGCGACAGTAAATTTTTTGGTGATAGCGTTAAATTATTGCATCCTAATGATAAGTTCAAATTGGCGTCATGATAGGGATGGACCACTTGCCGCCATTTTGAAAATCGCGTTTGATCGAAAATCTCGTAAACAATCGATTTTAACACTGACCTCCTCTGGCCGCAAGATGCGTCGTAATTGTCTGATCTTCCTCTTCATCTCGCAATGTCAAAGCGGGTGCCCCAGGGATCGGTCTTGGCTTCGAAATCGTTCCCCTACATATCAACTACGTCCTTTGCTGTTCATGTTGGCTGGTCGGAGTCCAGATCACCGAGGTCTTGTTTTGGCTCAAACACATCTCGTTAGTAGCGGTTGATGCTCGGAAACAGTTAGGCTAGTTGTTTAGGGCTAAGAAGTACTTTTCCCCACATAAACTCAATTTGTACACCAGGTCCAGATAAGACCTAGACTGATCATATGTTTGGGGTGCTGTCGCCCCGACTGCATTATCCTTGCTCGATGCTGTTCAGATGAGGGCTGTCCGACTGATCGAAGACTTTTCTCCAACGGATAGTCTGGGAACCTTTTCGCATCGATGTGCCTGCAAGACCCGCGAGACTTTGGCCTCCCATCATAACCGTGTCGAACTTCGTACATCCCGAACTGGCCGATACGACCGCTCCTTTGTTCGTAGGGTATCGAGCTTATTCTGCTTTCAATTTCAAAAATATTTGCAGGCACAGCCTACTTCTAAAAATTATCGCGATACTGACTTTTTAACGTTATTTTATCGGACCTTAAAAGTCGAAATATCTCAAAAACGGCTAACTATTACGAAAATTCACAAGAGAGCTTTTTTATGTTGAAAAGTGCGAAGAATCAGTTTTTTTGTTCAAAAAGCAAAAAATTGCACTAAGAAAATTTTTTCGGTCATTTTAATACACTATAGGTACAGTAGAGAGCGCCCTCTAGCGGCTACAGTAAAACTATGCCCATGGTTCGTTTTGTCGTACCAAAAAACCCGTGTATACCAATTTTCACTGTTATACATCAAATATGGTTCGAAATATTTTAAAAAAAACTATTTTAGAAAGTAAATTTAAACATCCTGTATTTCGGAAGCCACGCATTTTTCGACCCATGTTTATATAGACTTTATGCATTAATTTTAAAGGTTCTATCGAATCTTAAAGTTATGCAACAATAAACTGAAACACCCTGTATAAACAAGCATATAGACGGACCAAAGATTAACGGACAGATAGTCGGAAATGAGTGGCATACTTTTTTAATCTAGTTGTCATGTATCATCCAAAAAACACATCAAAATTAAAACTATACAAAATAACAAAGCTGGTGTCCTAATCGAAAACTACCCAATTCATAGACTTTATTGCAACAAGTAACTTTTTCTTCCTTCATACCAATCTCCTTGCGAAAAGTACAAGTTCCAACTCCGGAACTAAGCTCTCTAACACCAGAAAATAATCCAATTCTTTCAGCTCGAGGGTCAGTGCACTGTAAAGGGTCCTGATACATGGCCTGATAGTCTGATAAAATCGACATATTTCCATACCACACCCTTTTTAAAAGGCATGTGTGCTACTGCCACTAACATTTTCTGCCTTATATAAATTAGTGCTAGGGCCGTTTCGTTTTCAAGCCAGGTAAAGTCGAAAAACGTCAGGAAGGCAGATGTTTCGAATTCCTGGGACTCTCTGTTTACCTGATATAATTTGCTGGGTTCTTCTTGAGAAACAGTATTCGCTTCTTGGAAATAGGGCATGACATGTAGGGACTGTGGTTATAGTAAGGTCATTGTCTCGGAGAAACCAGTAGTGAGCATTTTTGATACTTTGTTGCTCTAGAGTCGGAAAATTGCAATTTGCGATTGATGATTGAGAAACGTTATTTGTGTAGTAACTGCAGCGAATAGCACGTGGTGTTTCCGTCTGTTATGAAAAAAGCTTGTTTTATTTTTCACACCTGACCATGTAAAATTGACGTTTTCCGTTGACCGGTGAGAATGTAAAGCTCTAGAATTCTGGTATGACTAAATCAGACTTTATCCGATAACAACCTTGGATAAAATCAAGAATTAAATGAGTTCAATAAAGTACTTATAACAAAATCTAATTTTTATTTCAAGAGCACATGGAAAACGTGAGCTACCTAAATTAGTGCAATTTCACTATAAAATGATATTTTCCAAATCACAAGTATTGCTTTTAAGTTTTTGATACAAGCTTGATTTGATATTCGTTTTTATTGACGATCAAGGTCGTATGAAACTTAATGATTTTGTAATGCTGATATGCCGGGTGTTTCAAATTCGGCCCTCACCATAGGGATCTCGTAAACGGTAACACAGATGTTCGTACGAAGTCGTCAAATGGGAGCAAAGTTTCGCATTTGGGTATCTAAGAAAATGGCACTTAGAAAGTTCAGTAATTCCGAATATTTCCGAGAGACGGAAACACAGCTGAATTTTCCTAAAATCTATTTTATTTTTTGCTGACATTATTTGCGGTGCAACTTCCAAATAAAGAGCACACCAACATTGCTATTTTATCTCCTCTACAAGATGGCATAATTTGAATATAACATTTTGTCTCTTTTCCTCAATCATCACCTTTATTTTTTTTATGGTATGAACGCCATATTGGATTTCTACATTTGTGAACAGAGTTTTTGAGTCTAATTTCAAAAATCAGACTTTGAAACTAACAATAGATTGTTTCATAATCCCATCTGGTAAGTGATCTTTGAGTTCTTATGAACTAGGCACGGGTGAACAGTCCCTCTTTCCGATTTCAGTGATGGATATTATAAAAATTATGACATCTAAAAGGCTGTTTTCATTGAATAAACAACAACATAATACACACTTTTTCATGAAAAACGTATTGGAAACAGAACTACACACTACATTTATTTTAGAGTAAATAAAAGCCTCGACTATGTTGCAGCTTTCTAATCACATTTGATATCCGTTATATCTAAGCTGATGCAGACATCTTGCATTCAAATAGTATTAGTCCATGGCTGATGTGAAATGTAAAACGGCTTCCATCGTGTTAAAATAACGCTTGTTATAGCAGACAAATGGGCAAATTATCTGAATGTCTAGACAGGCTTCTGAAACTGAAGCAATGTTGATTTGATAGGATAAACACGTGATAAACTGTCATTTTTAAGGCCAACCATGAAAATATTAGTTTTTCTTAAAACATTTAGCTTGATAAAGCTAATAGATATATGAAATTACACATTTTCGAAATGAAAATGAAAAACTCTATTCAATTTATACCTACCTATAAAGTTGATATTTGAGGAGAAGAGATGAAATGTCATTGAAATTCGAATTATGCCATCTTTTAGAGGAGAAAACGTGGCAATGTTAGTGTGTTTTCCATTTTGAAACCTCAACTAAAGTCAGGAAAAAAAGAAACGAGAAATCAGTATGCCATTTTCTTAGGCCCGTATCTTCAGTCGTCCCTACAACTGTAGGGCGCGTTTATGGCCTCCTTGATTGTCATACTCCTTTTTCTCCTTCAAAAATTTCTAGATTACACTTGTCCCGTGTCAGCGTCAGCGCTCTCCTATTGTGAAGATATGTTTTCTTTTTAAATTATAGGAAATTTCAGGCTGATAAAACATGATATAACTCAAAAGCAAGCACAATTTGATGCAAATAGATGTTTGTGACATAACCTCAAAATAGAGCGCTGACACGGAGAAATAGAAAACTATGACAATCAAGGAGGCCATAAAGGCGCCCTACAATTGTAGGGTGCGTTTATGGCCTCCTTGATTGTCATAGGTACTCTTTTCTCTCCTTCAAACATTTCTAGATTACACTCGTCCCGTGTCAGCGTCAGCGCTCTCCTATTGTTAAGATATGTTTTGCTTTTAAATTGTAGGAAAATTCAGGCTGATAAAACATGATATAACTCAAACGCAAGCACAATTTGATGCAAATAGATGTTTGTAATATAACCTCAAAATAGAGCTCTGACGCGGAGAAGTAGAAAACTATGACAATCAAGGAGGCCATAAACGCGCCCTACAATTGTAGGGACGACTGACGATACGGGCCTTAGTTACCCAAATGCGCGACATTGCCCCCATTTAAGCAACTTCGTATGTTACCTACTGTTACTGAAATGCCAATGGTCGAATTTGAAACATCCGGTATACACTTGGTTTAATTGTTGGACTTTATAAAAGCAGATCTCTGGTAGGTACATTGCTTTTGTATAATAATGCATTTCAAATACTCAAACGTACTTTTGTCTTAAGAATATGAGGATGTAAGATAAATTCTGTATAATAAATAATTGCTTACTATACAAAAGCTAAAAAAGCAATCAACGCGGACGGAAAATATTCTACATAATTTATTTTTATAACTGCTTCATATACTAAGGGTGAAATATATAAAAAGAACTAAATTAACATAACAAAAATTTACAATGATGGTTTCATTCATACCATTCTACCAAGAAGGCTATGGCCCAAATTTCGTCACCGCATCTGTCACACTTTTCTGGACGAGACGACCACTTGATTGCTGATCCATTAATGCCACAAAAATGCAATATTCTTCCTGCTTAATTTTTAACTGCTTCAGATACAAAGGGTAAAAAAAAGAATTAAAAGTAACATGACAATCAACAATGATGGTTTCATTCATAGGTTTATAGAAGTATATGAATAGGAATCTAGGACAAAATGAAATTTCCTAAAAAATATCCGCACAACCTTGTATGTACCAAGAAGTCTATGACCCAAATTTCGACGCTGCATCTGTCAAATTTGACAGCTGAGCAATACGACCACTTGATTGTTAACCCGTTATACCACAAAGATGCGACAGATTGTCCTATGATACTTGTAGGTGGCTATGGTCCCATGGTATTTACCTGTTTCCCTTGTCTAGGCAGAGTTTCCATGTTAGTTCCATTGACAACAGGGGCCTTTTCTTGGGTGACCCCACCATTCTGGGCAGGATTCTGGGTGCTCCCGTTACCTAGGGCCATCTCTCGAAGACACTCATACGGTTTACCACACTATCACCGCACATACACTTAGCGTTTTGGACAGTTTCGGCGAAGTTACCGTACCATACTACCATAACAGGGTGCTATTTGACGTGAAAAAAGCCGAAACGTCGGTCAGTTTGTCGGTCGTAAGAGGTCGCGTACGCACGAAGCGACAACTGTGTAAAGTTTTTTCTTCGCTTTTTGATTTGCTGCCACCTACTAGCTACGGCAATGACAGGGCTGGGTTGCCACATTGTGGAGCGAGAAAATCTTTATACTTCTTGTGTTCTACAGTTTTATTACAATGACCAGCGTATCTTAGCATGCTAACGCAATGCTGTGCTATTATGGAAAATCGAACAACCTATTAAGTGAATTGTGTAGTACATACTCAGTTTCATGCAACAATTTGTGTTGAAAAACATCAGAAGACGAGGTTTGATAATGATCAGAAATGTTTAATTTTTCGCTCATAACTCCACCGCCACTAGATTGAAAATTTGCCATACATCGGGCAACGAAATTAAAGATATTAAAAAATCTGTTAGATCTCTAAACAAATTTTTATACTATGCCCAAAAATCACCAAAATCTCGAAATGCACTCAAATCAGAAGCTTCTTAATAATAGAACCTCTTTCTCAGATACAAAGGATGCAACCCCTACAACTCCCCCAACACCCAATTCTCAACCCCTTCAAATTTGTTCTGAAAAAGCAGGAAGTCAAAAAAAAGTTTCAGCGTTTTTTATTTATTTTTTTCGTTTTTCATTCATAACCTCGGTGTCACTGGACCGCTTCTCAAAAACCTTAACCTTTGTTTGCCTTTGGCATGGTCATAACCTTGTATCATATTTCGGCAAAATCTGAGCAATAGGCATACCCATGACTGGAATCCTATTACTTGCCATTTATCCAAACGCAAAAGGACCCTATTTTTCAACAAGATAGTGACCGCCCTATATTGCTACGGACTCAATAACATTGAATATCGTATTCTACCTGATAAGATGTCCAACCTAATGCTATATTTCCGTGTCCAAAAACTGATCCGAGGTAAAATGAGATAGAATCGTTGCATCATCTATGAGAATTTGTCAGAGCTGTTTCTCTATTTACTAGATATATATGTATCTACTTTGAAAAGGTTAATAATCAAGCGAATAATCAAAATTTCTGTGTTATGTACCGCGGTTATAATATGGTTCAAGATGCCACACGGGTTGATGACGTCAGTTACTCGAATCGCTTGAACGCATTGGTTTAAACCGCGGTTTTGTTGCAAGTTGTTTATTTTAGATAAGCGCGTATATAATTTCTGATTATTTTTATTATCACTTAATAATCGGGGCTTTTTCGTCTACAACGGTGTATGTAAAGTTTAAAAAAGAAACCTTTCATAATATTAAGGGAGAAATGTTTTTTTTTTTTCAGAAAAAATATTTTAATGATGGAACCATGGCTTTGTAACTATGATAACGTTCAATTCTCTAAACCTTTCCGTATGTCAAAGAAAACATTTATCGATTTAGCAGAAATGCTGGGAAAAAGCGATGAAAAAAAAGATATTAGCAAAACCGTATACAAGTGGACATCATCCAGTGAGTTTATATGGCCATATTCAATATTCTTGTGGTATATGGCAACACAGGATACTTTGTTAAGCATAGGAACTAAATTTAAGGTGTCCCCAACAACAGTAATGATTATCACTAACCAGGTGCTCTACTTTATGCTAAAACTGAAGTCAGCCTGTATCAAGTTTCCCAAAATGAAGCTAAAGTACAATAAAAATATCCAATGCCCGGCAAAGTTCTAACTTGTCACATTTCAAATAATAACCAGAAATATAAAACTACTCCTGAGTTGGGTAAATACCACAATTTTAACTATGACATATAACAGCTGATTCATGACGTCACGGATCTTATAACCAAACTAATAACCACACTCGCTTGAACGTCACGGTAAATACCAATCCAAAATGGTAAATACCATTTTCATTTGGTTATTCACTTGAATTTGATTAATGCTCATAGATATGACGCTGTCTGTATGAGCATAAACAAGCATACAGGTTGCTACACCGTCATCTATGAGACACTAATAATCATGTAGATACTCCTAGCTTGCTAGAAGATAGATCACCTCCTCGACTACTGGACGAATGTATACAGTATCGAGGTGCACGTTTAAGGAAATCCGGCGATACAGCCCATGTGTACTGGGTGTTTTATTTTCTTTATCACTGCGTATATATAAAAAATGGATAATTAATGATTCTAGTAATCGATTACACTAAGTGCTGTCTTATTTCGAGATACCTTGTATCCTGGATAGAGGATAGTTGCTTAGCTTTCGTTCGTAGTTCTACCGGAGACCAAACCTAGTCCATCCTAATGAGTTGCCAAAAGCACGAAATAGCTGTCCATGGTGGGCCGTCTGTGGTCGGACGGTTGAAGGTTTTGTTACTAGTCTGGATAAATAGTGTCCTTTTTGATGTTTACTCGTACGCACATTGAAAGATATCTAATAAGACGCAGAAATGACCGCCTGCACTTACGGCGGCAACGTTACTGATTCCAT